AAGATCGAATTACTTCATTATTGTTATTCATGGCGGGAGGTCCAGATAAATTCCTAAAACTGAACTTTTATTTGTTATTCAGTGCCGTTCAGTAGTGTTTTTTAGGCATTCATCGCTATTATTCAAGTTCAGACGTTTTGTTCGCTCAGTGCATACTTATTATTTTTAAATRTACGCCTAAGGGCCCGTTCGCACTAGACCGACAAAGATTGCCCGAGTCATTTTCAGTMATAATAAAAATTGGCTTTGACAAAAAATTGTTTGAACTGTTGTGTTCGCACTACAAGCAAAATCTGATCCGCAAGAAGTAGTCATTCAAAATGTAACACTACATGAYGTGTATCATCATCTCTCTATTTTTCTTCCTCGCTTTTTTGAAAGATCTGATTTACATGCATTACATGCCTGTCACAAGATGGATTGCGCGCGCTAGATAGATCAACCAAGAACAATGACTTTCCTTACAAAAACAAAATTTTAATGTGYTCCCTTGGTGCGAACGGGAAAAGCAAGCAAACAGCAGGAAATCAAATCAAAGGGCCAAAAGCCACAGGGAACCCGGCTATATWTTTTTGCTTCGTTTAGAAAAGTAACTTTGCTCTTTGTGGGTTTCGTGTGTTGGGATCGGTTTCCTATTACATAAGCTGTAATCAGATCTGCGCGCTGTGATCACCGTTGGTGTTTTGTTTCTTGCTATCGAGTCGCCTGTGCTGTGTAACGCACTTTCTAGTAAGCAGTCAAAAACATGGACCCTGCCTTTTGTATGCAGCCTATTACACAGGAAGCCCATGATTGAACAAGCCTAAAATGGTCATGCAATTTCAAAATCATTGCAATTTAATCATAACTCTCTCCCTTTTCACTTGCCATGGTAGGCATTGCAAAAAATRATGCRCAAATGATCATGAATTCTATAATTTCAATTTAGACATAACTTTATTTTGCAATTATAACACAAGTATACAAAGCAGTTTATGAAGCAGTTGTGGCTAGCAGGTAAGTCAATTCATCAAGAACGGTTTATAAAAAGAACTGTTTTCTCCACAATCAGCACCTGATATGAAATTAATAGTCAACAAATAAACTCAAAATATATAACACGTGTGACGTTGGGCTTCCTGTGTAATAGAGTACTGACATATTGGTTAGCGGTTGAGACAAAATGTCGGCCTTTTTTCGATGAAAGGAAAGAATGTTAAAAAAAACAAAACAAAACAAATAGTTTATATAATGAGTTACTTTACATAAAAATAATTGTATTAATCTTTAAACCGGCGTTCCAGATGGTGATCCATACAGATGGTGGTCCAGATTATGGTCCAGAAAGGGGGTCCAAAAGGTAGGGTCTATGGTTTGTCGACAACTGTACCAAAATGTACCAAGTTCTCTTAAGATACTTGGAAGACCGTTATGCTAGTTTTTTTTTGTTGACTCGCCTATCAAAGATTATAAACAGATTGTCGAACGAATATGTCTTTCCGTTCCATTATTACATGTAAATGTTTTTTCCCGCTAACCTTTCTGAAGTTCCCGACCTCTGCATTACTAATTATATTCTTTGAATAGAGTTTTTTTTCAATATTCAAAGCATTGAAGTGGAATTGAACTCGGTTAGTAAAAGGATTCAAAACTTAGCGAAACGTAGTTACGGCCAAAGGTTATATGCTCTATTAACGCGTAGTATAGACCCTATCAAGGTTATTTCCACATCATGGCAGCATAGTTAATAGAGGGGAATGGTTAGGAAACTCTATTGTTATAGGTTGTTGTTCACTTTTTTCAAGCGTGASCGTGCACAAATCTTTGTTTTACCATTGTTTTAACATACAGTAGTGGCAATGGCTGAGTGAACAGACCAAAATCTTTCTTTTGGCAGCTAGTTCAAAATACTTAAAGATTTAAAAGAGATAATTGAATATTCCTTACAATAAGCTTATAAACAAAGTTTATGTTTACTTATTTTGCAATTTCGGATGAGCRTAAATCAAACATATTGCACGGTCAAGACCGGTTCAACCTCACAAGCGAACAAAGACCTGATAAAATAGGTTTCCTAACCATTCCCCTCTATTAACTATTATAGCTGGTGTGTCAATATAGACAAAGGCTTTCTAAATTTGCGTGGTATTTATTGATCTCAAGAAAGCTTTTGATACTATCAATCACGAAATTGTCATCAGGAAGCTGGAATGTTATTATGGAGTTGAAGAAAGAGGATTAAGTTGGATTTAAATCGTATCTTAGTGATAGAACACAGCATTGCCGATACAAATCATCAGCTGTCTGGTCCTCGAACTATAACTTGCGGAGTTCCTCAAGGATCAATCCTTGGTCCTCTGCTCTTTTTAATATACATAAATGATTTACCGAATTATTTTACACAAGGCATACCTAGAATGTACGCTGATTACACAAATATTAGCTATGAAGCCTCAACAATTAGTAATCTTAAAACTCAAATTAATTTAGAACTTCAAAATATCAATAGTTTGGCTTAGAGCTAAAATAAATTAAGCTTAAATATTGCTAAAACCGAATTCATGATTATTGACTCACGCCCGAAAAGCTACAAAATCTAAGAGATAGTACCATCACCTTACAAGTAGATAATAAACAAATAAAAAAGGTCGATAATACTAAATATCTTGAGATGACATAGACGACACCTTGTCATGGAAAATCCATATTAGTGAAATCTCAAAAAAGCTTTCCTCGGGAATAATTGGTGCACTGAAGCGAGTCAGACCGTTTATTAGTCAACACACTGCAATAACAATATACAAGGCTTTAAAAAATAGTCTAGATATTACAGTTGGACCAATTATATAAAAAATTATTCTGCATTGACCCAAAAAAATAAGGTCAGATTGGCTTTATTGGGCAACACGTACTTGAACAGGTCATGGGATCCTAGCCCCCTAGATGAGCAGTTGCATCAAAATGAACACCAGACACCAGTATTATAATCAAGATTATTAGCAAATACACGTTAAATTGAATAATTCACCAGAACATGAAAAAGTGCATTGTCGATAACGGCTACTGATTAGTTAACTTCTTCGCGGTACGTGTAGACTAGTAAACGGTGATCCAGTTCTCTCATAGTTCTCATGTATCGTAGATATAATGCGCACTACACGTTGTATTCTTCTTCTTCTTTTTTATTATTTGTCTTTTTCGTTATGTCATTTTCAATATTGTTATCATTCCCAATGATGAAGCAATGAGAGGGGTCAAATGAGGTCATTGACGAATTCAACACGGTAAGATTTAACTGTCGTCTCAGAAAGACAAAATACTATAAACAAGTAGTTTATTATCAACTATTTATCATCAGAATCATTCTAATCGTTTTAAGCCTAGTCTGCAGTCTGCATGTGTCCAACACCGCACATTGCTTGAGCTGCCTGTGTTCTCCTTCTGTGGCTTCATCTGACGGAGTCACGAAACAGACGAAACTATTTGGCTATATATATCATTATCTACAATGGTCCAAAGAACAAGAATTCCACTTCCGTCTTTAGTTCTATACGTAARATATAAATGCCTTGTCTCAATTTGTAAAATTGTTAGATTAAAATAGCGTAAACAAGTAGATCAAAGTAATACCAATCAGAGCCACCACCACCGCTACACAACACACTTGCAACACTCTAAATTCTCCTACTATTTTCTTCCCCAACTGAGTTTCTTTTAAGAAAATGCCGAAATATTCCCCCTTGACATTCAAGTGTGGAAATAACTGGTCTGGGATATTCTTGCCGGTGAACTCRCACAATGGTTTCCATCCTTGTTCAACACTGTAGACAAGCAGCTTGTCTGCAGGAACTACAGACTTGACTCGATCGTTGTGCCAGCGATATCGCTTGCGACAGATGTAGGATGACTTTGGACCAGGACTCCCTACGCTTGCTATTCTACCGTTAATAAAAATGAACCAAACGTTTTTTAATGTTGGAAGCAAGCATTTTATCTTTACAAGGAAGGAATTCTTTGCAGTTTCGTCGTGTTTTGTATAACTTCTGATCCAAGCATCTTCTTCTCGTATAGATAGAATAACTTTAGCGTCCGGAAATGCTTCTATAAGTTCCTCAAAGAAGAAATTGCACGGGCCATCGATAACAACGTCTACATCTTTAAACATGGTATAKAAATCGGGTTTCTTACCATGTTTGTACAAATCTAACCACTCGTCCATATAGTACAAGATTTGTTCATCGAAATCGTAGACTTTATAGCCGAGAATTCGCAGTGCACGAGCGATTGATTTGGTTCCCGTCTTGAGCAGACCAGCACAGATCAGTTTCATCTTAGGCAGCCAAAGCAGTGTTCTTGAGGCCTAAATAAGTATTTTCTGTTTCTTATATGTACTTTGAATTGTAACATGATGATAGTTTCACTCCCCGTCATTTATTCGTATCATATATCCGCCATATTTGTTTACATATGAGCCCGCGCAACCAATCATAAATACGTACCACAGGAAGACCAATCAACATATTTATTTTTGTCGAGCCGGCTCCCTTGCTCTTTCTTCCTGTGTAGTACCAGGGTGTAGTACAAATTAAACCATTCCCAGGCTCCGCAGAATGAAAGCTTCAAGTACACAATTGTAGCCCAATAACATTTCATATTTCTAATTTTCCAAGAAATCTGACTCAAAAATCAGACAACAGCTCCACTCTTTGTTTCCTCTTTGCTATGATGGACTTCTTTAATTCGCTACTTCAATTTTTTTAGCAAAATTCTTATTCATAACTTCAGTGTAGACCCTCCATCGTCAGATTTTTGAGCCCGCATTCGAAGCTTTACTATTTTTAATTCCATGCAAAGTTCTAGACAGGGGCGTAGTGATGTCTCGATTATTGGGGGGAAGGGTCAATATAGGATGGGAGGGTTCAATGTACCTTTCACGCCAAATCCACAAAGATCCCTTGGAATTTCATCTTGCAAAGGTCTTGCAAGGCTATAACTAGCAAATTGTTTGTAAACAACACATGCACATACCTTCTAGAATCAGTAACGATAACTATACACGTTATCCATAAAACATAAAACATACGGTACTGTACGTCTTCACAGCGCATCTCTCAATCACACTCGCGGAATCGGACAATTATCTGTCGCGCCAAAAAAAAAAAGTTTTTATGGACGCCAATCAAAGTGTTTCCAAAACATTGTCGAAAAAAAAAACTTTCAAAGGCAAGTGCCTAAGGAGAGTCATGGAAAGGCCTTGATGGACGTCCACCTATTTCGTCGAGACGACAAATTGTACGATTTCGCACGTGAGAAGTGTTGTAATAACGCGTCACATGGCGTAATACTATTGACGTGGCTTCTCTTAATCTTCCAGTAATTCATCAATCACGGCACACGACATAGTTACGGCTACAGCAAGATACGGTGCGGCTGCAGTACGACTACAGGTTTTGCCCTATTCGGTTTACCATTCATACGAAAACCGCTGAAAGAAGCACCAAGGAACTTTGGCTTTACAAGAAAACAGCCCTGACCTGGGTACACACGTRCATTTTGTAAACATAATGTGTTTAATGGTAACCTAAATATTTATTATAATTTTAATTGGACGACCTTGGTTTACGTATGCCATTTGAGCTGGCCATTCGAAACACATGGTAGACCCGGACCCGCTCGAATTCTTTAATACTCTTTCCGATATCTCTATGAAATAATAAAGCGAAATAACTCCAACTATTGTATAGTGTGATTTATGTGTTTGTTCCAGTTTGGTATCAATTTGAGGTCGTTTGACGTTCCTTAGTTAAGCCAGCCCCCTCCCCCCCATTTAGATTACAGCACTGACAGTGACACCAGTGACACTATATATTTGTCAGTCAAGAAGTTCTGGTTGAGACTTGAGTTTGTTGATAGTCTTCTGAGGTAAGCAGTATACTGGGTTAATTTCTTCGACTTCATTAGATCCCAGCAGTGATAGGCCAGTCAGTCCAAACACAGTATGAAAAGGGTCGACCTAGAACAAAGCCAGGAGATTCTTATTCTATTTTCACTATCTCAATGGTGGGTGGGAGGAGGGGGGGGG